TATTAATTGAGACAAGTGGTGGCATGTTGGGGCTATTAATTGAGACAAGTGGTGGCATGTTGGGGCTATTAATTGAGACAAGTGGTGGCATGTTGGGGCTATTAATTGAGACAAGTGGTGGCATGTTGGGGCTATTAATTGAGACAAGTGGTGGCATGTTGGGGCTATTAATTGAGACAAGTGGTGGCATGTTGGGGCTATTAATTGAGACAAGTGGTGGCATGTTGGGGCTATTAATTGAGACAAGTGGTGGCATGTTGGGGCTATTAATTGAGACAAGTGGTGGCATGTTGGGGCTATTAATTGAGACAAGTGGTGGCATGTTGGGGCTATTAATTGAGACAAGTGGTGGCATGTTGGGGCTATTAATTGAGACAAGTGGTGGCATGTTGGGGCTATTAATTGAGACAAGTGGTGGCATGTTGGGGCTATTAATTGAGACAAGTGGTGGCATGTTGGGGCTATTAATTGAGACAAGTGGTGGCATGTTGGGGCTATTAATTGAGACAAGTGGTGGCATGTTGGGGCTATTAATTGAGACAAGTGGTGGCATGTTGGGGCTATTAATTGAGACAAGTGGTGGCATGTTGGGGCTATTAATTGAGACAAGTGGTGGCATGTTGGGGCTATTAATTGAGACAAGTGGTGGCATGTTGGGGCTATTAATTGAGACAAGTGGTGGCATGTTGGGGCTATTAATTGAGACAAGTGGTGGCATGTTGGGGCTATTAATTGAGACAAGTGGTGGCATGTTGGGGCTATTAATTGAGACAAGTGGTGACATGTTGAGATAAAACTTTACCTCTATCAAATTGGGGAGGGACATAAAATGATTTGTATAGCAAAGAAAACTATTTGAAATCATAAAGCTTACAATCGAGAGTGAGCTGGAAGGGGATTGCCACCAATCTTCCTCCTTTAGCTCCACCATTGGTCAACTACTGCCGTTGGCACAGGAAGAAATTTCTGAGTCTTGCTTAAAGGCATACCAACAAAGGCTTGTTTAAGGCATATCAACCAAGGCTTGATCAAGGCATATCAACAAAGACTTGATTAAGGCATATCAACAAAGGCTTGATTAAGGCATATCAACAAAGGCTTGATCAAGGCATATCAACAAAGACTTGATTAAGGCATATCAGCAAAGGCTTGATTAATGCATACCAACAAAGGCTTGTTTAAGGCATACCAACAAAGGCTTGTTTAAGGCATACCAACAAAGGCTTGTTTAAGGCATACCAACAAAGGCTTGTTTAAGGCATATCAACAAAGGCTTGTTTAAGGCATATCAACAAAGGCTTGTTTAAGGCATATCAACAAAGGCTTGTTTAAGGCATATCAACAAAGGCTTGATGGTGTTTCTTGTTCTCATGGCAATCTCTAGGCTGATGACATTGATGAAATAGAATTTTACACAAATGTCCTCCTCAACTTTGGCCTGCTAAGTGATCAAATATCTACAGAAATTCTTGATCTTGTAGGATTTGCCAGTAGAGCCTTCACAGCATCCTTCCAGGCAAGATCTAATGAAGAGGTAGGTTTGGAAGAAAGGATTTGTTTTAGAATAAATTTTTTTTTAAATAATCTAGAAATGTACTTTAAATTTCATGTGCATGACAAATGGATCCTTACAGATTAAATCAGTAATATCATATAATATTAGTATATTCATTTTTGAATATTAATTTTTGTTTCCACTCTAGAAGGTTTCAGAATATGATGTCATCAGCACTTCTGGTATGAAAGTACTTTCTGTAGTTATGGAGATCATGGCCAAACATCCCACAGCTCATCTCAACAGTGAACATGGGACAGAAATCTGGCATCAAATCAATGAAATGATCTCTGTCAGTGATGTCCCTTTACCTTTTACCAGGAAGAGCAGCAGGTGCTTTTTATCTTATTGATTTGAATTATTGAGTAATATTGAGCTAGACGTGTAGGACATGTGACTTTCTTTATTGACAACTGGCTAAAATACCTATTATTGCCACAAAAATTTTATAATAAATTCACTAAAATCACAAATAATCAAGATCTGATTGATCACGGGGGAAAAGACTTACCTGCACTCTTTAAGTTCTCAAACTAGTTTCCTCAAGTTTTGTTTACACATGTTCTGTTTACACATGTTCTGTTTACACATGTTCTGTTTACACATGTTCTGTTTACACATGTTCTGTTTACACATGTTCTGTTTACACATGTTCTGTTTACACATGTTCTGTTTACACAAGTTCTGTTTACACATGTTCTGTTTACACATGTTCTGTATACACATGTTCTGTTTACACATGTTCTGTTTACACATGTTCTGTTTACACATGTTTTGTTTACACATGTTTTTCAGTCAAGAGTGTGTTTCCAAAGCCCAGGTCGGACGTATTATCAGCTGGTTCATATCTAGCAAGTGGACGTGTCAAAAATTTATTTTTGGCCTTTGGATCCAACAGAGAAAAACTGACCAGTCTGCCAAAGTTCTTTTGGACGTAGACAGTGCGATGGAGGACATGGGCATTGGCTCAGGTAGTTCAGACGTAACTATATTTCAAGCCCTTGATGTGGTCATGCCAGAGGTTGGTAGATTTAAAATCCATGCTACATTAATCTTAGTCTTTCAATTGTTTTTCTGTCCCACTAACATAAAATGGAAGATTTTACTGCATGTTCAAATAATTTCAGCGTAAATGTATTTCTCCAACCACCCCCCCCCCTCTTCCTGCTTTTTTGTATTGACCCACTAATTCTGTGTGTCCCCATGGGCTGTTATGGTGTGTCCCCATGGGCTGTTATGGTGTGTGTCCATGGGCTGTTATGGTGTGTGTCCATGGGCTGTTATGGTGTGTGTGTCCATGGGCTGTTATGGTGTGTGTCCCCATGGGCTGTTATGGTGTGTGTCCATGGGCTGTTATGGTGTGTGTCCATGGGCTGTTATGGTGTGTGTCCATGGGCTGTTATGGTGTGTGTCCATGGGCTGTTTGTTGTTCCTCATTGAAAATATTAAAACACTCTGCCAAAGATGTTCATGGTTTAATGAGATAATTATGTGTAGTAAATTGATGCACTCCACAATCCATGATTGTTGTGTTGCATTGGGCGCATTGTCCCCAGGCTATGTGTAATAAATTGATGCACTCCACAATCTATGATTGTTGTGTTGCATTGGGCGCATTGTCCCCAGGCTATGTGTAGTAAATTGATGCACTCCACAATCTATGATTGTGTTGTTGCATTGGTCACATTGTCCCCAGGCTATGTGTAATAAATTGATGCACTCCACAATCTATGATGGTTGTGTTGCATTGGGCGCATTGTCCCCTGGCTATGTGTAGTAAATTGATGCACTCCACAATCTATGATTGTTGTGTTGCATTGGGCGCATTGTCCCCAGGCTATGTGTAGTAAATTGATGCACTCCACAATCTATGATTGTTGTGTTGCATTGGGCGCATTGTCCCCAGGCTATGTGTAGTAAATTGATGCACTCCACAATCTATGATTGTTGTGTTGCATTGGGCGCATTGACCCCAGGCTATGTGTAATAAATTGATGCACTCCACAATCTATGATTGTTGTGTTGCATTAGGCACATGCTCCAGGCTATGTGTAATAAATATGATGCACTCCACAATCTATGATTGTTGTGCTGCTTTGGGCTCATAAATTTTGGTAAAATTTATTTTGATTCTCATAAATATTCAAAAGCTGTCAGTATTAGCATTAAATATAACTCAAAGATATCAATGAAAACTTAATTTTCCCTCCCACTAACATGATTGCCTAGCAACAAAATCCTGGTGAAGATAAGGTGAAGATAAGGATGAAATATATATTTTTATTTATAAAAATAATTACTTATTTTTTTATGAAGTGAATTCCTTGTGTAAATAGATTAACCGTTTCAGGAATGTTACATATGGCATGTGGGGAAGACATGATATGCAACAACCAAAAAAATAGTTTTGTGTGTTAAATATTTTTTTAATCTTCAGTAAGATGGAATAAGCAATAATGCTTTGC